GCCTCACACACTGTTTCCCTCACATGCCGTTCCAACAGGAGAGAACAATTCCTTCTTGTGGGAAGAGATTTCAAAACGTACAGATAATCCTAATATACTGGCCAATAGCCAGGACAGGCACACTGGAATATTTTTGCCATGACTCACATTTTCTTTGCAGAAAACTTCAATTCATGAATTTTGTAGTAACACATAATAGCTACATCTCTGTTTCCTAGAATAATGTTTAATGTGGTGGTTAAGTTAACTTGGTTTGGTCAGGCGCTCAGATATTTGGTTAGATATCATTTTGGATATGCCTAAGATGTTGGTTTGAGGATGAGATGAGCATTTAATTCAGTTTTTTTTGCATTACATTGTCTAGATTCGTCAGTGTTCAAAATGGAAAATTTTCCTTATTTTACTCGTGTGTGTGTGTGTGTGTGTGTGTGTGTGTGTGTGTGTTACATTTTCCTTATTGTGGTGGTTTGAATGACAATAGCCCACATAAGTATATAGGGAGCGACACTATTGGGAGATGTGGCCTTGTTGGAGTAGGTGTAGCCTTGTTGGAGGAAGTGTCACTGAGGGTGGGCTTTGAGGTTTCAGAACTTCTAGCCAGGCCCAGGCTCTCTCTCTCTCTCTCTCTCTCTCTCTCTCTCTCTCTCTCTCTCTCTCTCTCTCTCTCTCTCTCTCTGTCTTTGTCTCTCTCTCTCTCCCCACTGCTGCATGTAGAACTTTTTGCTCCTTCTCCAGAACCACATCTACCTGTATGCTACAAAGGTTCCTGCCATGATGGTGACGAACAAAACCTCTGAACGTGTCAGTAGCCCCCATTTAAAAGATTTCTTTTATAAGAGTTGGCATGGTCATGGTGTCTCTTTACAATAGAAACCCTGTTGGGGGGAAGTCCTGTCCATTTGTCAATAAAGCACTGCTGGCCTATAGGGAATCAAGATAGGTGGGACTAGGAGTCCAGGAGGACGCTGGGAAGGAGAAACACAGGAGAATTAACATGTAACACCATGGGGTAGGAAGCCCGGAACTATTCTCCGGTAAGAGAAATACTTAGATGAACAATTATGGGGTAATTAGTTAAGTCAGAGCTAGCCAGTAAGAAACAAGCAAGGCCAACAGCTTCATAATTAATATAGCCTTCTGTGTGTTTATTTGGGACTGATGCAGCTCTAGAACCAGGCTGGCGGGAAGGCTTCTCTCAAAGAAAAGCTTCTCTTTACAAAACCCTAACTAACACAATTATTCATTTACCTTTTGAAGGACAGAAGACGATTGCTATGTGGTTTCACTGTGTGGAGAATGTAGTGAATACAGTGTGCAGACACTCAAAGAAGAAGCGAGCAGGATGATGTTTGCCAGAGGTTGTGGATTAGTGGAAATGGGGAGCTGTCCATCAAAGGGGATAATATTTCAGTCAGTAGGAACGCCTTCCCCTACCCACACAGAGGAACTGAGGCTAGCCTCAAACTCACCACGGCTGGTATTAAATTCTCCGTTCTCTTGAGCTCAGCCTCACAAGTGCTAGGATTGCAGGTGTACACCCCCACTCCTGACTGGGAATCTATTTTTTAGATCATTTGCAAAACAGAGACTATAATCAATAATAATTGTGTTATTTTAAAATTATCAAGAAAATTAAAAACGTGTCATGTTGGGGGGAAGTCCTGTGCATTTGTCAATAAAACTGCTGGCCAATAGGAATCTAGATAGGTGGGACTAGGAGTCCAGGAGAACTTTGGGAAGGAAAAAACATGGAGAGTCGAGATGCAACGCCATGGGGTCGGAAGCCCGGAAACTTCTCCGGTAAGAGACATACTTAGATTAACAATTATGGGGTAATTAGTTAAGTCAGAGCTAGCCAGTAAGAAACAAGCAAGGCCAACAGCTTCATAATTAATATAGCCTCCTTTGTGTTTATTTGGGACTGATGCGGCTCTAGAACCAGGCTGGCGGGAAGGCTTCTCACAAGGAAAAGCTTCCTTTTACAGTGTCACCACATAAAAGGTACATAAATCAGGTCCGAGATATGTTATTTAGCCAAATTATTCCACATTATACACATGAAATATTACATTGCACTCCATAAATATTTATAGTTTGCCAATAAAATAATCTTAACAAAATTTGCTTAAAAATCATTGGCCTCTGACTGATTAACTGAACAGTGACTAACTTCCTTCAGGCAAGAAGGGATTCAGCCAGCACACTGCAACTCCCAGAGTCTGCTGGTTTACCGTACAGATGCTGGGCCCACGCCTCCATAGCTGTGTGAGCTAATTCCTTGAAAGCAGTCTCCGTATACACATGCATACCTCTGGACGGTTCTCATTTTGAAGAGCACTGGCTCCTGCAACTCCTTCTGTGTCTTCCTTCGCTCTTTGTTTCATGATTACTTTCAGCTTGAAAATTCTATGAGTACATAGGCCCAGTTAAGACAAACAAGGCTGCTGCAGGTTCATGACTGCACTAACTGTGTTGTCTTAGACCTCCCCTCTGTTTTCTGCCTCTTAAATTGTTTCCTCCTTCTCTTCCACAGTGTTCTCTGAGTCTTAGAAGTGATAATACGTACACATTGTTCAGGACTGAGCACTCATCTCTAACTTATTCTCAGTACCTTGCACAGCCATGAATGTCTGCATTCACCACTAGTCTGCAAAATTCATCACTGGAAAAAAAAAAGAGGGTTCTCTGATACAGGATGAGAGTAGCATTTGTCTATGGATATCAACATAAACATTTAGAATGCAGTTTGATATTATGTCAGTTTAGTTAAACAGCAGTGTTAAGTTCTCTTCTAGGGTCTATGACCTCAGTAGAGGGTTTTTGACCAAGTTTACAGGACCAGACACGGATTCTTTCTATAGAGCAGGCCACAAACCCCATCACAGTGTTGTTAATCCCATAGCAGTAATGCCGCTATTGTGTAAGTCAGCAACTCCTGTCAGAAGAAGGTTGGTCTCCCACCAATAGACATACATGGATGGAGGAAGAACTCAGGACGCACACTACCACTAGCTCAGGAAACACTGCCTCTAACTGCTGAATTCTTTGATATTGATCAGATCAAGGAGTGGGGAGTCATTGCTTTTAATTGTGACCCTCCAATGGACAGTTTGAATCCAATAGTCACACAGATGGCAGTGGTTAAACTAAAGGGGGGTCACAAAACCAACCCAAAAGTCACGAATCTGGGCATGTAAAAGGGGCTAGGGTCGATAGGGATGAAAGGGAGATAAGAGAAGACTAGGAGCCGGGCATTTAATTCCAGCACTCTGTGAGTTCGAGGCCAGCCTGGTCTACAGAGTGAGTTCCAGGACAGCCTCCAAAACAATACAGAGAAACCCTGTCTCTAAAAAACAAACAAAAAAAAAAAAAAAAGGGAAGAAGAAGACGAGGGAAAGCAAAATAGACTTCCGTAACCCGAACACTTCATGGAAAAGCTTCCAGGTAGAACTTCTTCCGGTCAAGCCTTCAGCAGCAAGCAGCGTTAACTCTTGTTTGATTACAGTCTTGAGGTATACAGGGAGCTATCCTGCACCCAGATTCTAGGCCCACGAAATTTTGAAATGGTGTTGTTTTGAAAAGTTCTGGTGGGACATTAAATATATCCTTGGGACAATCTTGGTGTCACATAAGTGGGCTTGAACTGAGAGTCTGTGGGCCTGAGGCTCGAGCCCTGGTCTTTTCTAAATAGTTTGTTCAGATTTTGCCTCCCTACGTCTCATTTTTTTCCCTACCAAAAAGGATCTCAGATTTTCTTAAATGGAGCAGTTCAAGTCTCTATTAACTCTACTGTTTTTTTATTATTAAAATAAATACTGATAAAAATCACAAGCATACACACCAGACCAGAAGTAGTCTGGATTGCTGGCGGCCTTCCAGCTTCCTCTTTCTTTGCCTGTAACTGTCTGTCCTCAAATCCTGTTTTACCTCTTTCCTCCCTACCCCAACCCTTTTCTAGGTGATCAAGGTTAATCTACTTTTATGGCATTTGTATGTGGTCCCTTACAACGCAAGCGGGACTGTTCTGCTTTGAGTCTGTTTCCAAGTATGGAAAGGCCATCTCTAGTGTTCAGTGAATTTACTGTGAGGAGGCACAGTGTGAAGAACCCTCTGTCTAAGCACTTCCCCCCCTTTTAGCAAGTGGGTGTGCCCACGTCCCCTGCAAAGCAGATTCCCTGCAGAAGTACTGCCCAACAGTCATCCTGCTTGGCTTCCCTTAGTGAGTAGCTGTATTTGCATTGGTAAATTAATCCCATTCAAAAAGAAAAGAAAAAGAAAAATAAAAAGTATATCGCCCCAAACCACCTCCCAAGCCTCCTCCATTCCCATTTTCCCTTCCTTTCTCCTTTCTTTCTTCCTTCCTCTTCCTTCCTTCCTTTCTTTCTTTCTTTCTTTCTTTCTTTCTTTCTTTCTTTCTTTCTTTCTTTCTTTCTTTCTTTCTTTCTTTCTTTCTTTCTTTCTTTCTTTCTTTCTTTCTTTCTTTCTTTCTCCTTCTTGCTTTTTGTAAGGGAAGGAGACTCGGGAAGAAGGAAGCGGAGAGCTAAAAAAGAGAAAAGGGGCGGCCCGGGTGCTTGTCTGCAGGCAGAGCAGATGCCCACTTGCGCGCCTGCATTCCAACCTCCTCTCCCTCACCCAGGCTCTGCGGGGCTCGGCGCTCGCGGCAGGCGGGTGACCTCGGGGTCAGCGGGGTCCCCTCCCCAGAGCTGCGCCTGGCCTTGCGCCAGTCTCCCACCCCCGCCGCCCGCGCAGGTCCCGCCCCGCGTGGCGACTTCTCTCTTTCCCTCTGCCCTAGGGTGGCCGGCCCTGGGTGGGGCAGCTGCTCCTTCAGGACTGTCCTCTGCCTAGGACCGCCTAGAGCGGGGGCCACCCCGGAGGTTGCGCGGAGCCGCACCTGAGCCCAGGGGGAAACCGAGGCTGGCCGACGGCACGCCGCAGGCTCTGGACCCTGCGGGTCGAACCGTTCCAGCCCCGCAGGCTTGGACCGCCCGCCACCCGGCTCTGCTCGCCAGAGCCCTTGGCCCCAACTGTTAGGAAAGTTCTGCGCCGGGCGGAACCTGCCGCCGTCAGCCGCGCCCCTGCGCGCGGGACCCGCTCTTGAACTCCGCGGCGCGCGCCCCGGGGTCCACCTTGCGCCGCCCCGCGCGCAGCCGAGGAGCAGCTGCCGGGAAACCCTATGAAGTCTCCAGAAAGGGCGTGACGAAGGGTCCTGCGGGCGCGGTCCCGGCTGCCCGGGTTCCCCTTCGGTGGAGCTCGCCCGCAGCAGAGCAAGAGGAGAGGTGGAGGAGGAGGATGAGCGTGCAGCCTCTGGGGACCTCTGCGCCCTAAGGCCAGCATGTAAGTGGCTTCCCAGCTCCGAGCCATTTGCACCTCCATCTGTGTCCCCTTCTCGACCCCGTAGCTCAGCGCTCCCCTGAAAGGTACCAGCTACGGTAACTGAAGCTTCAGCGTGCTCCTCGAGGTACTGGGGACTGGGTATTGGCAAACGGAGCTGGGGCGTATGGGTGCTGCTGGTTTTTTCCCTTTCTCGCTTAGAGAGACAGAGAGAGAAAAAAAGAGAGGTGAACTTCACTCCGAGGCCGTGTAACGCAGAATAAGAAAGGCAGGGCTTCGAGTATGGGGACAACCTGGTTTTGATTCAAATTAAACAAGGACAAACCGACGGTGCAGCTGCTTGCAGGGCCCTCGCGCTGCCAAGCCAGCGCTCCCTGGATCAACACCTGGGGCCTTGGAAGGTACTGCTGAGCTGGGGTTGGCTTTGCGCTGTCCCAGTTGCCAGTAGAAGTCGTTCTTAGATCTCTAAGATATTTAAATGACTTTTCCCCCAAAGGTAACCTCCCCAGCCCTGCGCCTTTTTCTTTGAAGAGCCCAGAAAAAAAAAATGTTCTCGGTGTACCATGTAGATTTAAAAAGTAATTAAGGAACGTGATAGAGGCTTCCTGTAGAATTACAAGAAGGAGGCGTGGAGGAGTGGGTGAGATGGTCAGAGAAAGCTACAAGGTTTTGCTTGGGTGGAATTGCCATGCACGCTGTGAAATTTTCCCAGACACCCGATGAAGAGGCAGCCATGCACACCGCCTGGCCTTCCAGACTGGACAATGGTTCTCACCAGGGCCACACTTATCTCTGAGGCCAACTTAGCAGTTATTCTTTCTCATAGTGTGTAATTTTTCCCTCTGCCGTTTTATCTATTCTTGAGCAGACACCTGACAGACTTTTTTACCCATTTCCGCTAACTTGTTCAGGAGCTACAGAGATTGATACTTTCCTCACTCCACATCTCCATCCTTACTTATTTCCGCTCTTGTTTCCTTTTCCAAGTTAGCGCCCAGCTTGGGTTTTTTTCCTCCCTGCTCTGTCCCCTCCACAACCCCACACACATCTTGAAGGTGGGCGACGGAACAGCACACCAGCTTCACCCTCCATCCTGCCTCTCTGATCTCCGCACTGTGCCTTGTAATAAATACCACTTAATTTTATTAAAACTCCTTGTGAAGTAATGCCACACCTGTGAGTTTTGAGTGTTGCTTATGGCAGTGGAATGGGCGAGCGGAAAACTTGTGAGCATTTGTTGGGGGTTATAGCCAGTCATCTAACATAAGACTCGTTCCCCTATGTAGGCAACAGGTTTGGATCGACTGCTAAGTTTGTTTCCAAGTTAGTTTTCCTGAAAACATTTCCCAGCTCCACACAGGAGATATTTAGGCAGCTTTTCTCCAGCCTCCCTGGGTATCTAGCGCTCATAGGATTAAAAGCAACACACACACACACACACACACACACACACACACACACACACACGCACGCACGCACACACGCGCGCGCACGAACGCCTTTAAAAGTAAAGGATGTGAAACTGATCAACAGATAATGTAACGTTTTCTTGATAATGCAATTAAATTATTAATCCATTTGAATTTGGTGTGATTAAATTTATGACTTCTCAGGGTGGAATCACGATAAGCAATCATCTAAGGCTTTTAACTTTGATTTAAATTTCTTTACCGAATTCTTTTGGTGGAATATTTTTCTGTGTCTTTCAATATCATTATGCATATTTTCTGTGCAATGGTTTGAGATGTTTTGACCCTTTTTGGCTGATGGGCAAGTTAGAACACTTGGAGATAGTGCCAGTCTGCCCAAGGTAAATATTCCTATCATTTTGTTGAAAATGTTGAAATGGTAAACAGAAACTACATTTTTTTTTCAAAATTTAATTGCAGTAAATAAAAATACACAGGCTGCTTAAATGTCTTGGTCGGCTCTTCCTTGGAGAGAACAAACTTGTATGTTGTTACATGCACATTTTGAAATCATAGACTTTATAAATATATTTTGGAGTTGCAACAACCACATGTTTTGCATGCTCTGAGACAGCCAGTAGATTTAGCAAGGCTGGCTCTTGTTGGTCTCACAGAACATGAAGCTACTGTTTCATTTATGGCTTATATAAGTTACATGACATTGTGCCTGTCCAGTGTGAATGGTGAATGAGACTATTGTCTGTTTGCTTTTGGGAAATATTAGAAGTGCATAGTTGTTACTGCCTGACTAAAGTGACACTCTGATTTCTAGAAATAATGATTTGAGAGACATTTCATTTATTTATTAAAAATGAACTGGTGATAATGTCTTCAGACGCAATCATGTTTCTAACTGTCCACATGTCATATAGAATTTACATTTCTGATGAAAGGAGTAGAAGTTTCTAGAGACTACTACTTAGACTAAATAGAAAGTGTGTGTAGTAGTATTTGTAACCAGATGTATATTTCCATGTTTATTCCTAGTTGGATGACATCATTACCTTATTCATGCTTGATGACATTGTGATGCATACTACTTGATGGAAATGACAACATTTAAAGACTGTACCAACTCCAACTAGGAATTCTAGTATGAGTGTGGCAACCTGGAATCATCTTGCCTCCCTTTTACTCAGAGGGAAATTCTTTGGAATGCCTTTAAAGATTATTTTAAAGACCCAGATATAACGAAAGCTTACATGTTTATGATAGAATTGGTTAAAAACACAATCAGAAAGAAAAATATTTATACGGCAATAGAAAAGTATGTATATGACTTGGTCCTGCCAATCCAAATAAAGGAAATCCAAGAGAGACACTTCTGTCATCTGACAGAGATCAAAGCAATGCCACTCACCAGTTTGGGTGACAGCACTGACATGCCCCAGTGGATATTGTGAGTGCATTTAAGTTTTTTTTAAATAATTGTAAGTCTACAAGAAGTTTCAAAGTATATTTTTTTAAAAAAAGAAAATACAAAAGGGGCTGGAAAGATGGCCCAGTACTAAAGAGCTGTACTGCTCTTGAAGATGGCAGCAGTTCAGTTTCTAGCCCTCAGTTAGATGGGAGGATCGTAATGGCCTCTAACTGCAGCTCTAGGGAGTCCAATGCCCTCTTCTGGCCTCCAAGAGCACCTACACACAGGAGCTCATACACACACACATAGACACATACACTTGCATAAAAATGTAAAACAAATAAAATTCAAAGAACAACTGAGTATCCTTTCCCCAAGAGTCATATATTATAAACAATAGTCTCCTTTGTGTGATCATTCCCTATGCACACCTCTCCTACAATTTTGTCTTTTTCAGAATCTTCTGAAATTTAGTTGCCCACACCAACCAAAGTTTAGGGGTTTACTTTTTCATTGAAAATTTTCAAGATAATTTCAGATTCAATTACAGTTGTAAAAATTATAATATGACAATATCTCATATATCCTTGACCAAGTTTTCATTAAGAACATTTTACACAGCCAGGTGATGGTGGCACATGCCTTTAATCTCAACACTCAGGAGGCAGAGGCAGAGGCAGAGGCAGACGGATCTCTGTGAGTTCAAGGCCAGCCTGGTCTACAGAGTGAGTTCCAAGACAGGCTCCAAAGCTACAAAGAAATCCTGTCTTGAAAAAAATGAAAAAAAAACCCAGAATATTTTACACAACTATCGAGCAAAATAAAAATAGGATGTTGATAAATGACAGCTCTCTCTTCCAGTTAATTCAAGACTATCTGTGTATGCACACATGTGTTTATGCCTGTATATAACACCACCCTCTCTGTATTTGCATAAATTCTCATGTTGACTTTATGGTATGAGTCAGTCATACATATTCTTGTTCAAATAAGGCAGGCTTTGTGACGACCTGAACAGTAAGTGCGATTTTTGTAGTGGGGGTAAGCCAATCTAATGAAAGGGTCTGAGTTCAGTAATAGGATAGCACACTCTCTCTTTTACACTTTGCTTAGTCTCAGGAACATGACCTTTCACTGAAAGAAGAAATGCTGTTATAAACAGGCTTGACTACATTAAATTGCCGTTCTTTTTTATCCTGGTAGAATCTCAAGGTGTTCTCTGGCACTTCTGAACACTTTTATGAAAAAGATTTGCCATAGAAACAGTAGGAATATGGTCAAGGAAATGAATTGTTAGTAGAACTAATATTCTGGAAATTCTCTATTAATTTCAGAATGTCTTCACTAACTTCACTTTGATCTCCAAAGGTCTCTGAAATGGGGCTCAAGCATATTGTGTTTTGTAGCCTACTGTTTTAGTATAGGGTGGCAGCAGAGGTAACAGTCCTCACAAAGGACAGCGGGGTTAGAAGCCAGGGAACACAAAGGGTTTGAGTTTTACTATGGATTCTGAAACCTGGCCAAGTAGTTTAATCTCTTATTTTCTCACCTGTGAGGTAATAGGTTTATCTGCAAAGTAAAAATGATTCTTTTCAAATTACACAAGGATATGATTCTGTTTCTTTAAAATACATTTCTTGGGGGCTGGAGAGATGACTCTGTGGCTAGGAGGACTTGCCTCTCTTCCAGAGGACCAGAGTCCAATCCCATCATCTGTATGAGTTGGCTCATAAGCACCTGTAACCCAAGTTCCAGAGCATCCAACACATAACATACCCTCTTCTGACCTCCGTGGGAACCCACATGCACTTGGTATAAACACACAAAGACAGAGAGAGGGACACATAAATAAAGAGAAAAGTAGATCCTGAAAAAATGTTTCTGTTCTCAGATGAACTCTGAGGCCACGATCAAGCCTGTACCGAGTTGAAGTCCCTATTAAGAACCTTAGTAACCCTGCTTGGGATTTTTCCATTCTTCTGAGAAACTTGTTTAAATTTCAGGGATGTATCTTTACTAAGTGATCCCCTGAGAAGACCCACAGTGCTTCCCTTCCCCTGTTCTAAATTTATTTGTTTCTGTTCTTCAGTAAACAGTAAAGTAGATGAAAGTTGGCTTGTCGTATGGTTTATATTACGTTATGAGTGCTTACTCTGTTCTGGCTCCTTTTGTGTCTAAAATGATGGAGTCCTGAGCCCTGGGATGTATCAAGCCCTGGTCTTCATTTGCAGTTATTGCATGATAGGATTGCAGACAGCTTTGGTAAAACAACTCAAGCATCAGTTGTAGAGTCCCTAAATGTGAAAACCTTTTATAGTAAAGGAAAAGTTGCATGGAAAAATAAACAGTGTTTGGTATCCAGGCTAAGGAGCACACTTCTGTTTGAGAGCATGTATGAATTTAACAGAGGGGACATTGCTCACATGTTGATGGAGAATTTCCCTATGACACATAGAGTACGAAGCTGGGAGGGTGACATGTAACTCTTAGAGTCTGGCAACCAACTCTGTTTGTTCTTTTTCATTTTGTTGGACCTCAGTTTCTTCTTCCACGAAAATCATAAGTTAGACATCTTCATGTGGATTTCCAGTTCTCTAAATTTCTTTAAATATGTAATTATTCTTTTATTTTAGAAGCACAGCCTATTCATCCCCAATATGAATGGAGAACACCTCATTCATACAATGTCAATAAGAAACAGGCCCATTCTTCCAAATAAGTGACCTTTCTATGTGACAGACTATCTAACTGCTTCTTGTGTAAGCCCCAGCTGACTGAGCTAGAGGTAGCAGTTCTATGTGGGCAGTAGTCGCCTATTTACAGAAGAGTGACAAGGCTGACAGTTTAAGTGTCTCTGAAAATGCTCATCCCCCAAATCACAGAGTCATCAAAGGAACAAGCTGTAAGCTCTGGTCATTCAAGAATCTGTACCCATTATTATTAACATTATTACTTACTCAAACATGTTCCTCTTAATCGGTAACTGCTTTTCAACTTCAAATATATTGGATGAAAATATCTGAAAACATGTTTTCCATACCAAAACAACAACAGCAGCAGCAGCAGCAACAACAACAGCAACAAAACCCTCTTTGGGTCTTGATCTTGTCTTAGTTTAGAAAGTCCAAATGGACAACTACCTGTACTGGAACTTGTAGAATGTGGAGTACCAGACTGTGATCGGTGATGCAAGCTTCAGGCGCTACATAAAATGTCTTCATTCATAGCAGGCATGAATGAGTTTATCTTGTTCCCAGGTGATCCCCGAAGTGGCTCTGGAGTCATTCGATGGATGCTGGCATAAACAAGGAAACCTATCATCTGCCATTGTTTAAGTGTCTTCCTTTTATTATACAGTGGGTAGAAGAAACATTCACATTAGCATGCCGGGCCTGACAGTAATTATAACGACAGTTGTTATTTATGGAATGCTTGAGGTACCAGGCACTGACTTTTGAAAGCATCATTTATTTTGAAGCTATCAGTCAGTGGTTCTATGGACTAGGTGCACCACTGTTCTTTTCTTTGCAGGGTGACACACAAGTACAACAGGTCAAATAGAATTTGGGCGTTGCAGAGGTCTTAGGTAGCAAACCCAGACCTGTTTTTTTTACTGTAATCCATGTTTCCTTTGATGCAGTGTTGCCTCTTACAAAAAATAATGATTCAAAATGTATTCTTAAGGCAAGTACGGAATCCTTTCATGTATGCTTGTCTTCTGAGTGTTTTCTTGACTTCTCATTTAGTGTCACACACTTTACCAACATAAGCAGACTTTAGGGGTTAGGAAAGTATCTCGTTGTCCTTCTAGAAATAAAATTACTCTCTGATAGTAATTGTAACTTTACTGTCTCTTTGGGTGTTTCAAGCCCTGGAGATTTCTTCTCATTGCTTAGGTCTTGCCTGCCTGCCCTTGCCTCGCCTCAGTACCAGTCCTTTTATGGCCCCTTTCAACAAATGTTTTTTTTAAAAAATATGTATTTGTTTGTTTATGTTATGTATATGAGTGCTTTGTTTTCATCCATACCAGAAGAGGGCACCAAATCTCATTATAGATGGTTGTGAATCACCATGTGGTTGCTGGGAATTGAACTCAGGACCTTTGGAAGAGCAGCCAGTCAATGCTCTTAACTTCTGAGCCATCCTTCCAGCCCCTCAACAAATGGGTTTTATTCTTATTGCATCCTTCACAGGCTTTCCTCTTTTAATGATGCTGACTCAACAAAATCTGTTGTGAGCCATCATAGCATGGAACCTTTCCTTAGTAAATACAGTTTCAAGTTAGATATAACTCTCCTTGTCCATCAAGATGGATTACCAACCAGGTAAAGGCACTTGACACCAAGTCTTATGACCCAAGTGCTTGATCCCTGAGACCCACAGGATAGAAGGGAAAAGTAACTCCCAGAAGTTGTCCTCTGACCTTTATTTGCACATGTGTGCAAGTGTACACAAAAGCAATAAATGAGTGATATTTAAAAACGGAGACTACTGATAACATTGATATACACAAAGACTGAATGTTTTCACCTGCGTGTAATGTTACTTAGTAGTTTCTGAACTACTCGGTGATTAGTAAGCATTTGAAAACAATGACAGATACTGTTGCATATAATGGGCTCATTTTTTTGGAATGTTAATGTTTCAGTGCTTCATTTTAAGGAAAAAAGAGAAATTCAATTTTATTTTAAATATTACCCTTTGACAAGAGATATTATAACATGAAAACATTTTTGTAAGATTTAAAACAATAACCTCCCACAAAAAAAGATCTAAAACAATACAGGGGAGGATAATGCAGTTATGTACATGTTTGCTTGTGCTGCCGAGAAGTTGAAATGGTTTTGTTCCTTAAGGAATTATGCTTTATTTTCTACAGTTACTTGAAATTAAGAAACCACCTACCGTATATGTTCTTGTAAGGAAGATACAAACAAGTGTATGGAAATGCTATATTCTGAAAATATCTCTTACATCCTAAGACATTGGAGTTTCTGCTGGACCACACAGCCAGAGTTAGTAATACACACTGAGGTCACTTAAGACTTAAGGCTGCTACCCTACTGTGTACCCAGCCTGTTTGTTTAACCTGCCTTTAAGAGAACAATGTAAACCCCACCTAACTTGCCTTGGGTTTCCCTTGTAATTAGCTCTCCCCACCTAAGCTAACTCATAGCTGAAATCTTAAATTCTGTGTTCCTCCATGGCCAGGCCCAGGACAATGCATATGTATCATTTGCTGAAAGCAGCAAACACCAGAAATTGATAGCAATTTCCTAAAACCTACCACAAAAGTTGAAAGCCACTGTGTATGGATATTGGTTGATAATGGTTTTTGTTGTCTGGGTCAGTGGAGGTCAGGTGGAGCCTATGACTTAATGTCTTTTAAAACTCTGTTAAAGATTTCTTCCCCTTGTGATGCTTCCTATGCTGTCCAATAGGGGCAGACAAGGTTTGTACTCAGATGCATCGGACATACATACACACAACACAAATGGAGACAGACACAGGGACAGAAACAGACACAGGAACGAGCAGATTCACAAGACAGCCTTTAGGCAGTCACAGAACTCTGCAACCCCTGGATTTCTCTCTCTTTTGCTTGAAGGGGATGATTTAGTCCTCACTAACCTTTAAGTCTCTTCTGAGGACATGGCCGAGAACATTTGCCTCATGCTCCTGAGGCCCTGGGTTCTATGCCTTTAGTATGAAGTTCTTTATTTGAAAACAAGACTAACATTTTATTCTATATTCAGTCCCTGCTGGGAACCACACTTGGCATTATTTGTCCTAATGCCTTACTGAAGGGTACCTGTCCTGATTATGATTTTCTGTTATTAATTGCAGGATGGGTGAGGCACCAGGGATGAGGTGCTGCCATCGGAGATGGAAGCTGAGTGCCCTTCTACTCCCGTTTACTTTATGGATTATGTGTACTCCTTCCTCAGGTAGGACTCTCCTCAAGGCCGGATTAGTAGTGATTTCACTCTGTTTGTTGGAAGTGTGCTTCTTATTGAAACATTGACTTTTGCCAGTTACATTTCCTCCTCATTTCCATCCTTCTAGGGTTTTCTTTGGTCTCTGGGCTCCGTCTTCTCCCTGTTCTGTATGAATTCTATCACCACCATCATTGTTTTGTTTCCTAATGAGTTTACTTTTTTTTAGTCTCTGCTGTCTTCCTTCTCATTTTATTTGTTTATTTAGCCCATAGTGAGTGATGAGATAACTACATAATGGACAGGGAAAACACTGGCTGTTTCTTCTGTTGGATAAACATACTTCCCCTTTCAAGTTTTCATATCATTGTTTATGGAAAATGTAAACTTTGCCATTTTCATAAATCCTGATTTGATTATCTTTTTTCAATATGTATTTTGTAATTTTCAGTGAGGGAATTCTTTGGTTTACAGTTTCTTTAGATTATCTGGTATGAAAATGTTCATTTTATTTATAGTTTTTTAAAATAATTAAAACGTTGATTTTCTTGTAATTGAAGTTTTTCTTAACCTTTGAAATAAGATTCATTGGATGTTGAGAATTAGATTTTCTATAAACAGTTACATAAGTAAACCAACTAGTCTGTTGAACAATTATTTTTCTTTCTTTTTCTTTTTTGGTTTTTTGAGACAGGGTTTCTCTGTGGCTTTGGAGGCTGTCCTGGAACTAGCTCTTGTAGACCAGGCTGGTCTCGAACTCACAGAGATCCTCCTGCCTCTGCCTCCCGAGTGCTAGGATTAAAAGCATGCGCCACCACCGCCTGGCCAGGTGACAATGTTTTAAAGGAAATTGGTACCTTGTTTGATTTTCTATTAAATTCACTTTTTTTATTTTCTCTTGTTATATTCACCTTATTACAATTTCCATTAGAATGGAGTCAAATTCTCAATTAAGAAAGTAACTATTTAATTTTTATGTGATCACAATTTAGGATTTAATCAGGAGTTACCAGTTCCATATTATTGTGTATGTTGTTATAAATGATACATTTAAGGGCTCTTTGAAGTAGATTATTTGCCAAAATTGCTTACTCATGAATCAAGACACTCAATTTGTGCTCAGTATATAAAGGCTCTTTTTCAAGTCATCGAGTGTTTTAAGCCTTTTCAGCTACTTGCTTGGAAAATCCCTAGTGTTTTTCTTTTTTAAGTTTTCGAAACAGAACTGATTTCTGGGTGCATTCTTGTTTGTGTTCACTAGAATATCTGTGTAAAGTCATCTTTCTGTTCCCTAGTTATTGCCAGAAGAAAGCACATTAAAGGGATCTAAAAGTCAGAGGGAGATGGAATTTCTGTGATGTATAGTGCTGAACTATTTCTTAACTTTCAAAGTGGTTTTTCAAGAACCAGTTGGATGATGTAAGATAAATTATGAGGTGAAAATTAGTTGAGGTCTGTTTACTTTCGTTTCTGTGAGGTCATGCATTTGTAAACTTTCAACATTTCTGCAAACCAGCGTACCTCAAATTGGGCCTTTGTATTTTACATGTCATCATCTTAATTGACGTATGTACATTCCTGAATTGTTGTCTCTTGAAGAAGTGAAATGAAACATATACTTTGAAGAAAATTGAAATAAGTCAGACAGGCTTTGCTGGGCTGGCACCCACCTCTGAGATAAGCCTATCCGAAGTTTATTCTGAGTTACTCTCTGACCCCAAGTGTCCATTCTTTTAACAAACATCTGTATTGACTTGCTCCCAGAGTGCATCCAATGCAGTCTCTTTCCTCAGAGGGGTTTGTATTTGCTTTTCCATACCCTTCTCTCACCTAATGTGTCACAACTTCACACTCAAATGCCTGAACTTCCTGCACACTTTTCAGGTTATTTGGGACATTTGGATATGAAATTCCTGCCTTTTGTACTGTCTTCAGCAGTTCCTCGCAAGGAGCTCACAGACACCTAAAATGATTCAGATTATGACTTTAGAGAGACTTAACTTCCAGTCTTGCCATTTGCAGATATCAACCGACCACTGGATTTGGAGGAGATATTTAGTGTTTAGCTCTAACGTTCCTTATGCACACACCCCAGCCTTTCCTGCCTTTGGATACGACTAGACCATCTCAGGCTTGGGGGCTTTTGACGGCTCCTTGACGCTGATGTCTCCTCAACTTCAGTCTTGGGTCCTAGAGTCACTGGTCTGGTTGCTGATGGCTTCTCCTTAGATTTTGACTATCTCTCAGATGTTGTGTGTGTATACTAATCTCCATTCTCCCCCAAAGTTCCGTGTCTATTCCTTTGTCAGCCTCTACAATCCACCACACTACCCTAGCTTCTCCCTGGTTCTTAAACTATTTTTTGACTTTACCTTCTTTCTCATCAAACTCTTTCCTCGATCCCCATGTTGTCTCTAAGAATAGACCTACTTCTTTTTGTGCTCTTGTATGTGTAACTGCTCCTTTATCACAGTGGTTTTCAACCTTCCTAATGCTGCAAGCTTCCTAATGTAGTTCCTCATGTTACAGTGACCCCAACCATAAAATGATTTTCGTTGTTACTTTATAACTGCAGTTTTGCTACTGCTATGAATTGTAATGTAAATATCTGTGTTTTCCAGTGCTCTTAATTGATCCCTGTGAAAGAGTCATTGGACCCACCAATGGGGTTGTTATTCACAGGTTGAAAGCTGCTTCTATAAGATGATGTCTTCCCAGCTCAAAATTTAGAACATCCCCACTCTCATTCTTTCCTATTACCCTTAATGATAATTTACACCTATTGGAATCTTTTAACTGTAGGTGTTTTGCTAGTTTGATTGTAGTAGCTAGGGTGGATGATTGACAGACCTCTTTAAATTGTTAAAAGTGACAGTTCATCCAGGACAATCTCCAAAACAATACAGAGAAACCCTGTCTTGAAAAAACAAAGCAAACAAACAAAGAAAAAGGTGACAGTTCAGATGATTAAAGTTAAACTCTTTCAGTTTAGTTCTAATAATATCCATACCTTATATAACAGAAAGGCAATATCAAGTCCTAGTAGATAGGTTAACAATGTGTTTTCATGGAAAAAGCTATTATTGAAAGTCACGTGTGAAAAGCAACTCACTGTCTCTTCACTAGTGATGAATGTAACTTTAGTAGGAACTACAACATAATTGGCCCAACATAAATAAAAATTCAAACAACGAATGATGCTTTTCTTTACATAATAGCTTACCAACTTAAAAATATTTGACAACATCTAGCAAAATTAAAGGTATTGGGAAAACAGCCTTATTAGTTCCCTTCATCAAAGTGATTGGAAAATATGTTATAAAACTCAAGAAGAGCCGGGCGTTGGTGGCGCAGACCATTAATCCCGGCACTCGGGAGGCAGAGGCAGGTGGATCTCTGAGTTCGAGGCCAGCCTGGTCTACAGAGTGAGTTCCAGGACAGCCTCTAAAACAATACAGAGAAACCCTGTCTCGAAAAAAAAACTCAAGAAGGTGTATGCTGTCTTTAGATACCACTTCTACATATAAGTGTTTGTCCTATAAAAACTTTTAAAATGGATGTGTGGATATATGTGTTAGTGTGTTAATATAAAAACATGCAATTGGAAAATGCTAATTGTTCATCAGCAAGGAATATTTTATATTCATGCTACGAAATACTGCATAACTCTTTAAAACAACGAGGTAAAACCATGCATATTGGCTTATTATAATGGCTTGTCTGAGACAATAATGTATAATTAGAAATCACATTGTAGAGGAGTATGAAGTTATCCTACATTCTAATGGGTCCTATTATAGAAGTAGGGCATTTTATATTTGTATGTTTGTGTGATTTTATAAACATAATTAAACATGAAGCAAACTATACCAAGTTTTCAAAATGAGGACTCTCTATGGGAAGGGACAAGGCACTGATAGTTTATATGCTTGTGGATTATGTAAAAAATTAAACATTTTGGATGTGGTGGAAGAACAACAATGGAGATCAAAGGCTGCCTCGTGAGAATCTGACCTGTCCTTCCACTGTGTGGATCTTGGGGTAGGACTCACATTACTAGGCTTCACCAACTGCCTTTACTCCCTGAGATATCTCACTGCCCCAGATGCTTTGTCTTTGCAAGGAACATGTATTAATTCATCAATTTGAGGAAACTTTAATGAATTTTGCTATTTTATTTTTTAAGAGCTACAAAAACTGGTCAGAACAACTATTTAAGCACATGACTAATTTTCTGAGTCACTTGACCGTTACTCTTTCTTCACTGAAGAGGAAGATTCTTAGAAATATTCCAGATAATAACTTCTTTTTATGCATGACACTATATGACTCTGAAGATAAATAATGATATAAAAGCAGGCAGAAATTATGGCTTCAAGTAGAGTACGGAACAAACAGCCATAAGCCAATGAATTCCTAAGCAACCAAAAGCCAGTTTCCACACAGATAGACTTAGTCATGAGCACTGAGGAAGGCGCCTCCCTTCTCCCCTGAAAATCAGTGTCATCAGCAGGTTACTGTTCTGACATCCATGAGACCTCAACTACAGAAAGCAGAAGTAATTATGAAAGTAAATTTGGCCCCAAATGTTGGGTACTTTCTGTCTCCATGTACAACATACTTCTAGAAGGAAAGTGGTTGGACAAATGACAGCATGCATGCTTTCTGTTGTTGCTTGAGTGTTAACGTCTTCATGATTACAGAATGAGCAACTGCTAATCTATTGCATCAAAGTCTGCATTTAAAGTAGCCCGATACTGAACATATTTTAAGATTTGATTCAAAATGTCCAGAGAAATAATCATTTTGTTAATCTGCAAAAATTTAACCCATTTCAGTCTTAACATATAGGTAGAGTGACTAAATGCTTTTGCAGACACTGATAGATGTGTTGAAGTGTATGTGTGTTTTGGCCATGGCAAGATGCTCTGACTTTCTTTTAGGCATTTTCAACCATCGTTGTCCTCAGGTGAAAAGAGCTCATGCGATTGAACAAATAAAGCCTAGAAAGT